ATAAAAATTTGCCGATAAAATTACCTAAATTAACACTTTAATTTTCTTTACACAAATTAAAACTTAAAACACTAATAATTAATCACACTAATTCAACTTTATTTCGCTCCGAAGCTTCGCTTGTCTCGCCGAATTCAATACTTCCCCGATCGCATTATGCAGCGCCTATTTATATAAATTAGCACGGAAATATCCAGAAATAATAAACACCCAGGAGCCAATAGCATGCAGTCGACTAAGGCGCGTAACAATATGTATAGTAGAAGCCATCTACCAATTTTCGTTGTTGTATTATTCGTTACATAGAGTTAATAATGATTTATTATTTTCCACAGAAACATATATAAGAACATCATGCATCTACATCAGAAATATTATTAATACATATCTAAGTACATTTTATTTTGTAATTTGATAGCGGGAAATTAATTGGTAAAAATATGAGCTGATTTGGAAAATACATTTTTATCTGATAAAGGGATTTTTTATTACGAATGAAATAATTCGGTAGTAGGTATTATATCGGAATTATTTCTTTTGCTTTGATATAATATCCTTATGTGTTAATTTTTATTTATATTTATATTTTCAAGCAAAAGTTTTTCTTTCGAAAATATGATTTTAAATTTTTCTCTACAAATAGAGTGTGTATGTATGATTTTTCAAATAATACAAACCATTATTTGTGTGTTCTAAAACATAGTAATTTTATTATACAGTATGGGTTATTCTTATAAATTATTAAAAAAATGGAAGAAATACATTATTATTATGTTTGTAACGCAGCCGGTATCGTTTGAATTTTATAACTTACGATATAAGTAGCAATTTATCCTTATCCGTTGCATTGAGGCTGTTACAGAGTAATAAGGTATGTCCGGATGTCCGGTTACAATGAGGAGATTTTATAAGTTGGAAGTGTTTAAAAGGACGGTTCTTTTTTTTATGCTTCAAAGGCGAAGTTCACGGATGGACATAGAATTGCCATATTGGTCACGTTTGGCATGCAATTTGACGGTAGCACTATCAGACGCCTTAGATTTTTGTACTGCATATCATCACTGATTTGGGTATTTTTACGTCTAGGTAGTTATATATTATTTCGGAGTTACTGCACTCCCGGGACGACAATATGTGATGACATATTCTTATACACTACTCCGCACATGGTGACCTATATAAATACACACACCATATACAATACAGAATGACAATAGAGTGTTCATACGTGGTAGAGCCACGCTGCAGCTATATTATGGTTGTAGCACGAATGGGTCGCCTCGACCGGGGAAGAACCACGCTTTCACAGAATACCAGCATGAAATAGTAGCGTAATGCTGCTGTGTTTGAGAGATCCGGAGTCCTTTTTTACTGGAAACGAGGCATTTCATCTTAGTCCTCGCAAGTGACAACGCATGTGCATTTTTATTCTATCGAGGATAAATGTACATGTCGAGAATGTAGATGTGCCACAGCATCCACTTACCATCAGGTGGATTGTTTGCTAATTTGTCGCCCTTATTGTATATAAAAATAAACACAACACAGCCATTTTATACTGACTTACAAGGTGGTACGAATTCTTTTCAGCCTAGAATTCCGTCTGGCTAGCTATACATATTAATGCAGCTAAGTAGTCGTACGTGCATCGCTGTATTCTGGTCTGAAGTGTATTAGAGACCGTGTAATTACAGGCTTTGACGCATTAAATCTTAGTCCTCAGAGGTTAAAAAGCATCTGTAGACTACTTTGCTTAAAGTTTGTTACACAGGGTTCAGTAGCTGAACATAAGGTTAGACTGTCAGTTACTTCAAGGTTACATTCAATATTATTGTTACGTCTGGGACCCAACAAAAGCTTGAGGTTCGTGACAATAAAATTGCCGATAGAATTACCTAAATTAACACTTTAATTTACTTTACACAAATTAAAACTTAAAACACTAATAATTAAGCTCTTTACAGCACTTTATTTCGCTCCGAAGCTTCGCTTGTCTCGCCGTATTCAATACTTCCCCAATCGCATCTTGCAGCGCCTATAAATACAAATTAGCACCGAAACATCCAGAATATTCAAGTAAACACGCGCAAGGGGCCGAGATTTCGAGTATCGACTTCTAGAAGCTTAGTTCTTCGTTTCAAAACTAGATGGCGCTGTCGGTTGAAAGATTAGTGATGTAATTTTCTGGAAAGCTCCCCTCGCTCTCGTCCCTGACACTAGATGGCGCTAGTGCCGGGTACATGACGTCGACTTATTCGCGCAACACTGCCCCCTCCTAAGACATGCTCGTCCCGAGCATTATCGGCCCCATAATAACGCGCCAAGCGATCCACATGGACGATCTTAGGAGTCCCTCTTGCGCCTTTCTGTATCCGGTAGGTTACATCGTTGATCCTGGTCACAATCCGGTACGGGCCATCCCATTTAGCTTGAATCTTAGGAGATTTCCCTTTGCTGCGGACGGGATTATGCAACCACACTAGTGAACCTTCGTCGAACCCTTTATTGTTCATTTTGCGGTCGAACCGGGTTTTCATCTTCTCAGACATTTTGCTGGCCCGATTGTCTGACGTGCTCATAAATGTCATTCATTTTGTTCCGCAAGTCATTTGCATAATCGGTTTTACTGCGTGGGGCATCAGGTGGTATCCCGGTGATCAGGTCTGCAGTCAGCCGTAATTCTCTTCCAAAGTTTGCGAAAGCTGGTGTTACTGCTGTACTTTCGTGAACAGCGCTTCGATACGACAACAAAAATGGTTGTATGTGCTTGTCCCAATCTCGTTGCCGATTGTCTACAACTTTTGCTAGGTACCTCTCCAATGTCTGATTAAATCGTTCTACCATTCCATCAGATTGCGGGTAATAAGAAGTCGTTCTTGTTTTATGAGTACCCATAACTCGGCAAGTTTCCTGGAATATTTGAGACTCAAAATTCCTTCCTTGATCGCTGTGAATCTCTAAATGTACTCCAAAACGACAGAAGACTTCATGAACTAGCTTATCCGCAACTGTTGAAGCTTCTTAATTTGGAATGGCGAAGACTTCTGGCCACTTAGTGAAGTAATCCATCACAACCATGAACCGCTTATGATACCGCTTTCACTCTCCGGAAACGGCCCCGCCACGTCAATGGCTATTCTTTCCCATGGTGCGCCAACATTGTACAACTTCAATGCACCTCTACTACGAGTGTGAGGTCCCTTTACAGCCGCACAACTTGTACATTTGCGACACCAGTCCTCGACATCGTTTCGACAGTGGACCCAGTAAAACCGTTCTCGGATCTTCAGTAGAGTCCGTTTAACTCCCAGATGGCCTCCTGAACAATCATTATGGTACAGCTGTAGAACATCCGGTACTCTAGCTTTAGGGACGACCATTTGCAAATGACAGCTGTCTCCTCGAACATTTTCCCATTTACGGCACAGAACTCCATCCTGAAGCAGCAAGCTTTCCCACTGGGCCCAATAGCTTTTAGTGGTCGAACTCATCGTTCAGACGTCGCTCCACTTGGGCTTGGGAGCACTGGGCTTCATACATTGCAGAATCGCCTTGATGTCCGGATCTTCCTGCTGTGCATGTCGTAAGCTGTCCTTCCACTCGTTGCTGAGGTGGTCTGTCCTTAGCATCCTCACGGATACCACTTCCTTACTCTCTTGCCTAGTACAATGGTCGCAATCTTCAGGACAAGGTCTTCTTCAAGCATTGCACAATCCAAACGGCATTACTTTAAATTGCCACAGACCCTTTCCCGTCGAGAACGCAGTTTTCTCCTTGTCCTTAGGGTCAATTTCAACTTGCCAGTAGCCACTTTTTAGATCCATCGTGCTAAACCATTTTACTCCTGTAAGCACATCCAGCGTGTCATCAATTCTTGGCAAGGGATAGCTGTCCTTCTTTGTAACATCGTTCAGACGGCGGTAATCAACACAGAACCGCATGCTGCCATCCTTCTTCTTTACCAGCACCACGGGTGAACACCATGGACTAGATGAAGGTTTAATAACACCATCCTTCACCATTCCCTCAATCATGGTTTCCACTTCCTTTTCACGTGCTACCGGCAATCTTCTTGGCCGCTGACGGATAGGCAATTCTTCTCCTGTGTTTATTTTGTGTTGAACTAAGCCAGTCTTTCCTATGTCAGCATCGTTTGATGAGAATACATCGGCGTACTTGAGTAACAACTTCTTCGCCTTGACCAATTCGTTCGGGGAGAGAACACTGCGACAGTCTTCCAAAAGTGTGGTCACTCTCGTTTCTGAATCCTTGCTGGGGATCCCACTTCTGAAACCAATTGTTACGAGCTTGAGGTTCGTGACAATAAAAATTGCCGATAGAATTACCTAAATTAACACTTTAATTTTCTTTACACAAATTAAAACTTAAAACACTAATAATAATTAAGCTCTTTACAGCACTTTATTTCGCTCCGAAGCTTCGCTTGTCTCGCCGAATTCAATACTTCCCCGATCGCATCTTGCAGCGCCTATAAATACAAATTAGCACCGAAACATCCAGAATATTCAAGTAAACACGCGCAAGGGGTCGAGAGTTCGAGTGTCGACTTCTAGAAGCTTAGTTCTTCGTTTCGAGACTAGATGGCGCTGTCGGTTGAAAGATTAGTGATGTCATTTTCTGGAAAGCTCCCCTCGCTCTCGTCCCTGACACTAGATGGCGCTAGTGCCGGGTACATGACGTCGACTTATTCGCGCAACATTATTATGGGTACATTCAATATTACGTTAATTATTAAAAAATACTCGTAGTTTATGTAGCCTAAGCTGGACAAAATTGTTTTTGAAGCGTTGCAAGTGAATGCGATAAAAAATATTCACTTTATTGCTGTTTTCCTTTCAGTGTCGTTTTTCTTAAATCGTCGACACGGCTAAAGAAGAGATCAAACACAGGACGAACGGTAAAGCCGTATTTCGAGACACAGGATTGAACACTGCAAATCCGGGATCACATGAGCAGCTGCTTAAGACCACTTAGACTAAATGGGCAGTTTTTTAAAAGGTCACGATGAGATCGAAAATCGAAGCCACTTTGAAGAAAGGAAACGTTTAAAAATATTTCCACTATTTAAAAGGCGCAAACCAATGTGAGTTAAAGTCTTTTGACTTACTACTTTTAGACAAAGAGGTAAAGAAATATTGCTAAGTATAGTGAAAAAATCTATTCAAAACCTAAATAGTTGGAGGCCGTTTCCTCTTCTTACAGGTTATAATTGACTATGTTTACAAATGCTACTAATATAACGGGTTCTGTTCATCAAAAAACAAAAACATTTAATTAAACACTTGAGTCTTGTAGTTAATCTCAACTGGGAATATATAATTACTGACGCACGTCGAATCACAATATGTTTTGATAAATTTGTGTAATTCTCCGTAATCAACAAACAATCGTGTTGAATTAACGAGATATTTATCGTGTTTACATTTTCGTAAATGCGTGTCATATTATAATTACGTGTAATTTTACGTGTATTAATAAGATTTAGAAGGAGATTTACAGTCTGGATAGATAGTTCGAAAAGTGATATTTTAATAGGCGTGATCGATGATGTTAGATTACTTTTAACTAATAATATATATGGACTTATAAAAATAATACTTTTGTATCAATCTTTATAAAAAATAAAAAAGTGAATACCGAATTCAAAGAACTAGAAACAATAAATTAATTTCTATTCGAGTCGAGGCGAACGGGAGTTGAGTGGGGGATGGAAGCACGAGAGAGCTTTTCTCATATCCAGTTATTTTTCGTAATTTTATTTCGTTTATATATAAATGTACATACAGATGTAGCTAAAGAAGTTTTACTTCAGTCGTGTGGTCAATAAGCACCTCGTTTTTTTATTTCATTTTTTAAATTTAGTTTTTATTTTTTAATCAAAAGTATTTATTTTGACTCTTTTGAGTGGACTGAGGAATATAACAACCTTAAGGTACCAACTAGAATATCGTCATGCGTACAGCAAAGGAATGGTTATTACTTATTTGACCTTCTGTCTCGTTGGTCTAGCGGTTGTAATAGTGCGGCTGCTGATCATGAGGTCTTGGGTTCGAATCCTGGGTCGGGCCAAAAATCAATTATTGAGATTTTCTGTCAAGAAATTCTCAGTAGTTGCCCGGAGTCAGGAAGTTGGCGGTGTCTCACCCCCGTACCTCGGAAAGCACGTAAAGCGGTTGGTCCTGCGCCTGATCTCTCTCCGGTCCTGTCGGTTTACCGTCCCATCGGATTATGAGAGAGAGGGAATAGAGAGTGCACCTGTGCTTGCGCATACACTTGGGCACTATAATCCTGTTCTGCACCGTCGGTTAGCTCCGTTGAGGCAGGCCGCCGTGGCCGAAATTCGGTCTGGACGACATTATTATTTGACCTTAGCGTTGCCAGCATCTGTCTTTCCATCCGATTACAATGTGGGTGTTTCAAAGGCAAGAGTGTATAGGCTTTTGTTAAGTCAGCAAAATATCAGCTCAATGCTGCTGTGTTTCGTGTGGTGAGTGTTCTGGTTTCTGGTGATGTTAGCGCTAGTCTTTTGGCTCTTACAGCTTACAACCCTGAGACAGTATGGTGTGTGTAGCTAACCGGAGACCCTTTTTGCTGGAAACGAGGCATTCCATCTTAGTCCTGAGAGACAACGCATCTGCATTTTGATTCTTAATCGAGGATAGATGTATGTAAATGGAACCACTTATCATGATGATCAATTCTCTAACTCCGCAATGATACGCTGTTTACCTGCTTATACGGTTTTCTGCAATACTTGGGGAGATAGTTACAGCGGCAATGATTGCTAAGCCGAGAATGCTATAATCACGCCATCACAGGCCGGCACCCTGCGTTGGTCAGTGGCATAGATAATATACTATATTGGGTAGTTCGTGGCGCTAGCGCATTTGTGAGAGGAGTACGTGCATCTGCTGTTAAAACCGTTCGTAGATATCGACAAATCATAACCTGCCCCGTAGTTCTGCTTGCCGACTGTTATAATAAGAGCTACATATATAATTTGTTGTTTTTTGTAGGGTGAGGACATATAAAAGAAAAACTGAGCGTGGAAAAATATCTAAAGAGGTTTACGAAAAAGCAGCAGCTTTTTCCGAGGAGGATATAAGTAAAGAGGATAAAACTAAACACAGGTGTGTACAAGCTTGATTGTGAATGTGGTCTCTCTTACATAGCACAAACAAAAAGATCCATAAAACCCTCGTAAAGAACATATCACTGATGTGAAGCACGGAAGCTCCGGGAAATCTGCAGTATGTGAACATGTTCAAGATCGCCCCAAACATTGTACCAGATTTGATTGACCACAAATCCTTGCAAAAGAACACCAACTCCTACCAAGGATGATTCACTAGGCTATTGAAATTAAAAAACATCCTAATTTCAATAGAGAATATGGGCGGGTGCTACCGTCTGCTTTCCCATCCCATAATTAATAACCCCAACTACTACTGCAAGACGGCAAGATACTGTATGCTCGTTCTGCGTAGATTTGATCAAAAATTAATAATTAAAAGTTGAAGGTAGTCTTCGCTAACTATGACAACAAAACGTCAAAGCTATTAGTCTCCAACCGTGAGAATGGTTGCTGTAAAGTGTCGGAAACTTTAGGAATTAAAAAATTAAAAAAAGTTAAAGTTCAATGCGATAATATCCGTAAGATTAGGTTCATTCCAGGTTTTATCATACATAATATGTTAGAATTGCGTAAGTGATTGTTCAGACTACAGTGACTGAACTGTTTTTTTAGCTTTTAGGATCTGATTGTTTTTTTAAAGAGAAACTTTGTTTATTTTTTATTCATGTCATGATGTGATTTGTTGATTTATACTAAGTTACCTAAATTTTATTTTATTGAGACGTAGGACTAAAATATAAGATTGTAATTTTGTTCAAAGCTAGACGTTACTACGTTTTTGTTTTAATGAAGCAAAAGGGAGCAAAAGACTGCTTTATTGATATTGTAAAATTAAAACAAAATACTGTCATTGTTATTAATAAAAATCTTATATTAGGTTTTTGGTGTAACATTTTGCCCCTTATAGTGTAACAATCAGCCCCTGGCGCGGGGCTAAAAGTTACATGCCTCTTTTCCCAGAATTCATTGGTTTATCACTTCTAATCATAGAATACTATAATACATACATAATAGAACGGGGGAGTGGGCGGAGCCCGTGTAGCCACTAAAATGTCACTAAGATGTCAATTCACACGTATAAATGTCAACACGAGGTGTGTTTTGACGTAAAAATCGTTTCCAAATTTCGCATGCTAATTATTTAGAAAATACCAAATTGCACACTATTTACATATTATAAATATGTATTAAAATTTAAACGATTTTTTTAATGATGATTTTATATTAATCAAAAGTTAAAATGTGTAAAGGAGATGTTTGATTTTGGGCTACCACTATGTACACTACATAGATAAATAGGAAAAAAATTGAGTAATTTCATAAAAATACTTACAAATTAATTTGAAGAAGGGTACAGGCGTACAAAATGATCATTTGAAAAGTTTTTTTATAGGATAACCCTATTTCGAGGGCAGCCATGACAGTTGTGTTTTATGACGTTTGACGACTTTGACAGTTTTAAGAAGTGACGTCTTTGAGTATTGCTTTGCTTTGGGTTTGAATTGGATGTGTTTCGGAGTTTTTAGTGATTGTTTTTGTTTTACGACCCAGTTTACTATTACGGACATTGATTTGATTGCTTCTCTGTTGACCCCGGCTTTGTTATATGGTTTCTGATTCGCCTGTGATTTGGATTCCGTCGTGTTATTTTACAATAACAAGTTCAGTTTCAGGTATGTCCGCTACCCGTGCATTTACTTGTTTTGTTCAAATGCTATTTCTATGTGATGATTTCTTCCTTTGTTCCATATTCTAATAGATTTTAACTCATACTTATTTCAGTTTATTGACAATGGCATGCCTCCAGTGCACTTCTGTAATAGATGAAAATGAACAATATTATGCTACCGATGATATGGGTCCTGAAATAATTTCGGTCATCGAGCGGTATCTTGGCCATCTGGTAAAAAACATTTTATTTATCTATTTACTGTAACATATTTTTAAACACTGTATAACCTCTTTTTTTGTTTTGTTTTGTTTTAGGTTGATGGAAATGAAGTGATGTGCTCACAATGCTTTGGCATCATAATGCAAGAGGTATCTAATGGTCTGGCACATGGAGATCACGAACTCCAACATTGCCATGATAGCAATGTTTGTGTTAGGTGTAGGACATCTTTGTTTAAGAGGCGTGCACACTCTATTCCCGAGGGTGCCGAAAGGCAATATATTGCTGAAACAATTGCTCCAAGAGAGGTAAGCACCTCTTTTGTTTTCTTTTTTATTCATACAGGCAGTCAAATGCAGATGTTCCTTAATTATGGTCTAAGACAATATTATTGCAGGAAGAAACAGAACAGTCACAATTTAATTTTTGGAAATGTGTGTAGATATGTAACTTATAACATCACCTTGGTTGAGTCTGTGAAGGTGATGTTAAAATAACTAAATCTTGATTTATTAAAATGATTTAGAAATGTTGTGATTTAAATTATTTAGAAATGTTTTGATTTAAATTAATAAATATTAATTTCATATTTTTTGTTTTAGATACCCGAGGGTGGTTTAATATGTTTTGCTTGTTGGGTACATACTCGGCGTACAATACAACAACAAGGAATCATAGCAGCTCCTGCTGTTATGAATATGAATGCATGTGTATGGTGCCGACGGTCTCTTGCCCAAACACGCAGCCACTCCATACCTGAAGGACCTGAACGGACCATAATAACACAAACGATATATCCAAGAGAGGTAACATTAACAACTTACTTAATTACCTACTGTTGGAATTAAATAATTGGGTTAATAGTCAATACATATTGTTTTCTTTTGTTTAATTCAGATTCCACCAGGAGGACTGGTTTGCTATGCTTGTTGGGTAGCAGCACGTAGAAATGTGGAGCATGCTACAAGGGTTGAGGATAACCGGCAAGGCCCATCTAATCTTCACCAAGACTCTATGTGTGCATGGTGTAGAATGTCGCTACACCGAAGGCGAACACATGTGGCTAGTGGTCCTGTGAGAGATGAAGTTGCAGCAAGAATTTACCCCAATGAGGTAAAATTATTTTAATTTACTAAACCACCATACACAAGTAATGTAACTTTGCATTTAACTGTAAGTAACCCTTTCTGTTGCTCCTGTAAGTAAATTGTTTCTTGTATTGTTTCAGTTACCAGAACATGCGCTACTTTGTTCCAACTGCTGGACACGTGCACACGAAAATATAGAAATGGAGCAAGAAGTTGTGCAATTTGATATCCAGCCACCAAGTGCATCAATAACACTTGATGGTTTTACACACACAACACAGACAAGTACTCATTGTTTTGTGCCGGCCTGTAACAATGTAGAACGAAATAGAGTGCCGGAATACTTAAGAAGAATTATATTAAAATCGGAAAAAATATTTGTGACAGAAAATGCAAGAGTATGTAATGAACATAAATGTTTATACAACTGGGAGTTTCTGGACCAGCATCAGTTCTCAAATACATTTACAAAAAATGAAATAGAGTCAATGCTGAAGCTGAGTATCCAGGACAATGAAATAAATCAACTAGATTTTAATAATATGAGTAGTATTGATGAGGGACTCTTTAAGTTCTGGACTGGAATTACAAAAGACAATTTTATAAATATTTTAAATGTAATAAGCCCAGCATTGACTTGCAAAAACCAAAAAATTGCTTTGGGAATCTATTTGGTGAAAGCTCGTACAGGGGACTCCCATGAAAGGATTGCCTCTCTGTTTCATCTGACCAAGTCCTCAATAACACGATTGCTTAGAGTAGCTAAAGAGGCATTGCTAAGGTTATTTGTGCCTCTCCACTTAGGAATCAATCATACAAGAAATGATTTAATAAATAGGAATTTATTAATACCCGAGGGTTTGTTTGGAAACAGAGAGGCAAGAGTACCAATAATAATATTTGATGGTACCTATATATACCTTCAAAAATCATCCAACTATATGTTCCAAAAAAAAACTTATAGCTTGCACAAATATAGAAACCTTGTTAAACCTTTTCTCATTGTTGCCACTGATGGTTATATTATTGATATTTTGGGGCCCTATCCAGCAACCAAATCAGATGCTGACATCATGAAAGCTTTGTTCCAAAATGAAAATGAGGGTCTAAGGGCTTTTTTTCAGCCCAATGATGTTTTCATTTTGGATCGAGGCTTTCGTGATTCCATTCCAATGCTAGAGGGGTTGGGCTTCAAAGTATTTAAACCGGAGTCATTAGAACAAGGAGAGACTCAGTTATCAACCATCAGTGCAAACAAGACAAGATGTGTGACACTATGCAGATGGGTGGTAGAAGTAGTTAATGGCCGATTTAAAAGAGACTTTAAGCTATTGAGACACGAATATTTTAATTTGGCTGCCACCCATTTGATGGACGATGTTCGTATTTGTGCAGCTATAATTAATGCATTCCATCCAGTGATTGAAAATAGACCAGATGCTGATGCTATACTTACTCGAGCAATACAGAGAAAAAATATGCCCAACCGGTTAGCAGAACTTATAATTGCTAACCGGATCAACCGCTTTAGAGCCCAATTCACAAGAATTGATGGTCAACTTCCAGAGTTAAGTATTTTCCCTGAAATGACTATGTCTGACTTGATACTTTTTGGGCTGGGTACCTATCAAATAAAACAGGCTAGAAGCTATTTCGGGGGAACATATTAGGCAGCATGGATCATTTCAGGTAGAAGTATCTGACCAACTGGAAGTAGTAGCAGAAGCAACCCTCCCCATCCCAACTTGATCCTCTTTTAATCAGAGGCCGTATAAAATCTCGACATAGCTCAGGACGAACATATTATACATATATTTTGCTGTCAAAGGAAGGATCAAGTTGGGATGATAAAATAATTAGCTATTATTGTAGTTGTATCTCCGGACAACGAACAGTGGGTTGCTGTGCTCACATTATGACCATTGTGTGGTATTTGGGTTGGGCTCGGTACCAAGAGAGCATAGAAGCACCGGCGTCATTCCTGGATGGAATATTAATAATGGATGATGTAGAAAATTAATAAAATTAAAAGTCTCAACAAGTTGTTTTATTTGTATACCTCATGACTTATTTCTCATGCTATTAATGTCTCTAATACTAGGAATCATATAACATAGAACTTGTTTGAAAAATTGTTAGTGTTTAATTGGGCACTGGGCCCGCATGTTGGATTACAGTCCACTCTCACAGAAAGTAGTTATATGTCTCAGCGGTAGAAACATTATAGGCTGATTATGCTGCTGCTACCTAATTGGATAAGAATAGTTGATTTCTTCCCATCTGTTACTGTGTAATAGGTATAGTTATCTACTTTAACTATAACTTGCAGTCATCAGGTACTGTACAGCTAACTGCTCTCCTATGAATTATTGAAGTACAGAGTATATTTATAGGCACTAAAGTAAAAAACTAAACGAAGCAGCAGGAAAGTGTTGTAAATAAAATAACGTTCAAGCCTTTGTTTCGTTTCTTGCTCCTCTTGACACCGATATAACCAATCTGTAACTACTCGAATAGGTGATATAAAATGTGGTGCCGCAATCGAGAAGAATATCCTGTAGTCTTATTTTATCGAAATCCCAGATTTTTGAAATTCGTGTTGTTTTTTTTTATTGCAGATATTACGAATTACTATACACGTCAATCAAATGTCACTGTCAATATGACATTTTTCGCGTACTGCTGTTCCGATCCACCTGGATCCACCATGTTTAATTTTATGTTGTGTTGCTCTCCTTGACCAAGTTAATTTGAATGTACAATGAAACGCAGTGAAATTAAAGAAAACTAACAATAAAAAACGGTTACTATATTATACAGCAATATTCACATATAGTGTACATAGTGCTGGCCCAGGCTCCATACATTTATGGAACATCTCCTTTACTCAGTCTGTCAAAATAGCGAATCGAGTTTGTAGTAGTGATAATACGACATAATTGCTTTTATGCGTGCTCCCGGCGACTCCGAATCTCGTACAAAATAAGTTTGACAGCCATTCTATTGTGTATTATAGTATTCTATGCTTCTAATAGTCTGGCACCTGATTTTTTTTTAAATTAAAAGCTACTACTACTACTCGGTAGTTACTTAATCAAATATATCTCTTGTTGTGTACAATAGGTTATATTCCAGTAAAATAATCAAAGAAACAAAAAATTACGACATTTTATAAAAAATGTCACGACCAGCCCCAGCCCGCCTACCTCATTTGTTAATGAGCAATACCACACATGGGCTGAACATAAATCCAATAATTAATTAATCTTTATCTAATTTCTTCATAAACCCGTTAGTAGAATTTTACGGGTTTATGAATAATTGCTGGGTATTGGTCTCCCCGTTATAAGAATTATTTTCATTATTCGTTACGCTTTATATGCGGATTGATGAACGCATTACCAGAGGATTAACATTTTTGATCCTGCGACAGATTTTTTAAACGAGCTGGTTATACCGCCATCTACCGGAAGCCACAAGGCTTTTCTGGCATGTCCAATAGTCGCCTTTTAAGACACTCACTGAATGAAATGGGGTAATAGATTCCTTTATGTCGCCTCCACACTGGAAAATGAAATTTTAATAGAGTAGTTAAAAAAGACGTATTAATACTGCTTCTGCTGAAGTTTTAATAACGTGTTGTGGTATATACACATTACACAGTATTCTATACTCAAAAACTGTTTGGATTATAAAGTGTTATATTAGCCTGATTGACACACTCCTTTACTCTCCTAATAAACACATTTAAATTTATCGCAAATATATAAACATTTAGCTAATGTTGTAGAAAATACTTTAATTTACGCATTAAAACAATAAACAAACATATCAAAGAGTATTTTTTCCCTTATGTCACCACCACACTGAAAAATAAAATTTTGAATATAGTAGTTAAAAAAGACGTATTAATACTGCTTCTGATGAAGTTTTAATAACGTGTTGTGTACACAGAATTCTATACTCAAAAACTTTTTGGATTATCTAGTATGTTATCAGCCTGATTGATATACTCGTTTACTCTCCTAATAAACATATTTAAATGTATCGCAAATATATAAACCGTTAGCTAATGTTGTAGAAGATACTTTAATTTACAAATATATAAACAATAAACAAACATTTCAAAGAGTAATATACGTACAGTAAATATGAAAACTCCAATTAACCATCATCATATGTTTTATTCAGATCTATTTTGGGATGGTTGTGTACAATGCAAATAACACGTTGCTCTGAGTACACAACTTGGTGTATCACAACTATCTTTAATCAGATGTTACGTACTATGCACACAATATTCTTTCACACTGGAGCTATTTTTATCAAAACAAATAAGTTTAGAGTTAATTACACACCGATTACTCTATGTATTTTAAACTGTGATGTTATAAATGCGAAAGTGTATTTGTTTATTTATCCTTCTACACGCAATAATGGCGCAACGGGTCGACATGTTTTGCATAGAATTAATTTATTCGGGAGTCAGTAAGAGAAACGATATATCAAAACGATATTATGCAAAGCTTTGCATGTGTATAACGTTACAGTTACGTTACAATAAATTTGTCAATTAAACGTTTCTAAAATATTGTTATCACATAATAATAATGTTATTATTTATTGTTCTATGTCATCTCTTTTGCTCGTATGGTCTTCTACTCTCTAAAGCTATAGGTTTTGTGATCAATATGTATCATATATAGGCTGGAAAGTGTTACAGTCTACTTCTCATACCGGAAAATGCACGATTCCTGTTAATAGATCTAAACGGATTTTAAAAATGTCTTATATCTTGGAGTAACAAGCACACAGTATCAAAATTTGGTATAGAGGTTTCTTATTTTCTGAAATAACTTATTTAAATACTTTGAATGACATAGGAGGCAAAATCATGCGACTCACCTGATGTTAAGTGTCGACCGCCGCCCATGAAATACTATATCCACAACAGGGAAATTGTACCGGCAATTTCCCTGGTGTGAATGTCTTTAAAAGTCCTGCTACACACCCGTATAGCAGGACTTTTATAAAGGGGTGAGCTCATTTGTAGAAGATTTCTAAGTCGCATCAGTCCGGAAAAATCACGAATTGTAAACGAAAACGAAGAAGTCGTGCATGGGAAAAATTTCTAGTAAATCGCACAGTGGCTGATCGCGAATCGTCTAGATGGTGTGGATGGTATCGTGAGTTTTGTCGCGATGTGCCTAGTGAGCACTCCTCGTGGTAATTGCGATAGGAAATGAAAAGGGGTGCCCCGTAACAGAGATGAAAACAGTTATCCATGTGATTGTGATGGTTTTTAATTTACATATAATTCGATTATATAATTGTTTGAGTATTTACTATGTCGACAGGTAGGTAAGTATAATATATGATCTAGTGTGAGTTGCTTATTTTTTCCATTAAGTTACAAATTTCGAACTTCTTGAGGGCAAACCGGGCGATTTGCAGTTGGGAATTGGAATCCGAAACTGTAAGAGTCATTCTCCTGCGCTTTCGTATCTATCGTTTGCTACGCTTTATCGTTGATTTCACGCTGACGGGTGTTCGTTGTCGCTTCGAAAGTCTTCTAGATGAGTTTTGCCCCTCCCTGCTCCCGACTCAACTGGCCGGCCGCCTATTATTTTTTGTCTAGTAATTACGATACCATAAAAGTGCTCACTATTGAAGTTTTTTATTATGTCCCGCTTTCATCGAATTAATCCCAATTTTTTACTTAAAATGTTTCAAAATTCCACGATAATTAATAGAATCAGGGCATTACTTGCGGAATAGTAAAAATTACTTTATCTTTATCCGCTAAAAGAAATAGTGCATTCAATTGAGGGACGGCGGGAGGTGCTCTTCAAACTAGGTACATCATTTTCTTTCATTAAGCGGATATAGGCAAAGTAATTTTTACCATCTTTAGGCGTCACGGTTGTATCTTACACAAACAGTCTATTTATTTATTTCGAATATTGATTACACTTTATAAATTCTCATTTATAAATAAATTCTTAGGTACGTAATTTTACAGTATATCTTTGTTTTGCAGTCAATAATACTATAAGCTCATACTATAAGCTCAGCTGTGTAGATTGAATCGAAAACTAATAATACGCTCGAGGGAAGCCCAGTTTCCCCGTGAACATGGGTGTGTCTATATTAGATGTAATACGAAATTCGTTATATTACTTATGCGTTTTATTATTATTAGCAGTGATGCAATTTAGCTAAGAGAATCTACAAATGTGCCCCGGCGAGCCCTCCAAAGTGGTATACCTTCCAGGCATTGATAGATCAATTTCATAATACGTTAATGTAAAATGAAAAAAAACATATTACTATTTTTTTTTTCATTACAGTATATAATATATATATATATATATAAATATACATACATATATATATATATATATATATATATATATATATATATATATATATATATATATATATATATATATATATATATATATATATATAGATAGACGATGAAGAAAAATAAATTATGTTTTTTATATTTAACACAATAATTATTTCAGTAATATTTATTCGTTCGTATACCACATTAAAAAAATTATATAAAACTATTTTTAAAATGTTTTTATAACAGAGTAGTCAGTTGTTTACTGCGTGTAACGTGCGCGTCAAAAGAAGCACTTCCATATGCAATTAAAACAATTAAATCTCGTGTAAATAATTTTAGGAACAATGCTAAATAAATAAACTGAGGAATACGTCAATGTAAGTTAACATTGTTCACAGTACATACACTTATGCAAATAAAGTGACAAAGTGTGATGATAATCGTTGACGCAGAAGGAGTAATGTCCGCTTCACATACATTATAATTATAATGGGTCAGTTAATAGGCATTGAAATATTATGTTCTATGTAGATATGATTCACATAAGTGCATCTTTTTAAATAGTTATAGATATAATAAATATTATTGAATTTATGATTGACATATTTGATGATTTATTATTATATAAATGTTATTGATGTTATATAAAATTATTAAACACTACGTCTGCTGTACAGAACTCCTTTCAAGATTTTGTTTTAGAGATATTCTTCTCGGGCTCCGATCAAGCTTAGCTGTATGCCGATTCTGTAAGACGCTACTAGGTTCGAATTACCCAATCTCATATAGTGCCAGTTTTACAACAAATGCTGAGATCATCATAAAATCCTTGACGTACATTAAATGATGGCAACTAAATTAAAAAAAATACTGCATAAGAGATGCATGTTAGTAGTTTATAGCCTTATTAGTAAATGTTTCATTGTGGAAGTGATGATTACCTATATAAGTTTTTTTTTAAAACGTTACCTCCACATTAGGATTTTCTCCTGTATCATAGGAGCTAGTTTAGATACATAAATTTTACAAGGATAAACATCCAGATTCGGGACAGTTAATATTTGTAGGCCATACAAATATTTGTTCCGTGCGGGATTCGAATCCGCAACTTTTAGCGCCACAAGTCATTGCTATGCTACTGCGCCACGGAGCCGTCACAGTTACTGATTATGCAATATGTCCTAGATACTAAATATACAGCTTATTAAGCGAACTTATTAAGCTGTAGCAATTAATATTTTTATTAGTTCAACAAACAACAATCGTTAGTAATCTAATTAAATAATAAAAAAGATCATTACTTCACTGCGTAATGGCGGGGTAAAAATACCACCTTATTCATCCTCACGGGTGTGTCCCACAATATTAACCGTGTTAAAAAAATGTGGAGCTTCTCAATTTGATTATATCGTTACGCCATATTTTCGTCGATTGGAAACCGATGTCAGTAACTCTATTTTTATAAAATAGGCTGTAGTTAACTTAAGAGTAGTCTCATTACTATAGGAAAAAACATTCCTAGAAAAATACGGATAAAGTTTTTAATGTAACCATTCAGATGACATTCTATTTGTTACCTTGAGCAGAGAATTTATACAACATGTAACAGGAACCCTGTGGTTCCCGTTAAGTGCGTCATCAGAATTCAGAATCAGTATTTAAACGTATAGAAATATATTTTTTTGAAAACTCGACCATTTAAAAAAATTAATATAGTTAAAATAAATTTTATTTGCAAATTGTATGCGGTTTTATTACCTTTTTAATTAAAATAAAATTCTTTAATGGTCGAGTTTTCTGAAAAAAGTTATTTTTTACGTTCGAATACTGATTCTGCAGGGTTTTGGTCACATGTTGTATATCTTTGAGCTTGTGATATTAGCAATAGCTTAGCCCACACAATAAGGTCAAATAATTCACCATCATCATCATTCACAAGTCCACTGCTCAACATAGGCATCCTCCAAGAAATGCCACAAAGCACGGTCCTGAGCCACCTGCATCCATCGACTTCCTACATGTCTTGCCAGGTAAAATAATTGAACTATAAAAGTCACATAAATAAATTACATTCTACATATATCCCACTGCTAGGCGCAGGCCTCCTCTCAGTTCTGAGAGGATTTTAGAGCAAGGAAATATTCGCGCTGCCCCAATGCGTGTAGGCGAACTTCACATGTCTTCGAAATATTTTTGTTCTTATTTCTCAGACATGCCGGTTTCCTCGTGATGTTTTCCTTCACCGCCGAGCACTTAAAATTGCAATTAACAATGTGTTTGGTGTGGGTTGGGATCTAACCCAGCCCTGGTTCGATCCCCGCTTACTCACTGTGATATTTACTGCGAGTGAAGTTTCTGAGCGGCAGCGGCTCTATGAAAATTGGAACCGACTTCAAATAACTAAAATAAAATATAATTTCTACATTATTTAATATTTATGGCTTCTGAGGTCGGTGCTAGTACGTAGTGTATTCAAAAAATAAGGCCGCAAACTTACAAGCTGTTAAATAATATGATAATTCTTTATTCATTTTAGTTTTTTTAAAGTCGGTTTTCATTTTTTAGCTACTATTAAAAGTATAAAATCTTAAAATATAGCCAGTGTTTGTACTATACCTGGATTAGGACTGTTTCATATTTTAGTTTCTTTTGTTATAACAGAAATTATATATTATTACGTTATATAAATAAGTATTATACCCCAAAAAATATCACATAAATATGTAATAATGTGTAGCCCCTGCTGTTAAAGTTCTCACGTTGGCAATTTTTGTCAACAATGGCGCAATACATTCTCGTTCACACAAAAGCTTTTATTCGCCGAGGTGAATCCCATGGCGACGTACTCGTATGTATTAATGCATTTTACGTCAGCGTCGTAAAAATCAGGCTTTACTGTGTTTATGGTGTTATGGTTCACTTACGTTACTATCGATTGGGGTTTAAATATGTACAGATGCGATAGTTATATTTTTTTTATAGAATGAGTTTTACAAAAGAGCATCTTACCGACGACACGAGTGGGTACTGACATCTATCTTCAATTATTAATGTTTCATATAAGTTGTTATGTCGTCACCCCTGAGGCCTTATTTCCAGTAGAAAGTGTCTAACATAATACCAGCGTAAAATATAAGCTCAATGCTCCTGTGTTTTGTATGGTGAGTGTAGAGAACCGGATACCCTTTTTACTGGAAATGAGGCATTCCATCTTAGTCCTCACGGGTGACAACGCGTTTGCATTTATATTCGTAATCGAGGATAGATGTAGATGTCTATGGGCCTCAGCAACCACTTACCATCAGGTGGACTGTGTGCCCGTTTCTCACCTTATCCTATAAAAAAATCCCTGTTAAGCCACCCCATTTGTGCTACAACGCTAATATAACTGCAACGTGGCTCTAATAGATTATGCCTAATATTTGTATGTTTAACCGACTAGACTAACTCATTTCATCCCATGGGAGCCGTAAGAGGTGACGACGGGAAACGAAACAGGAGACGGGCTGCAGTATCTTTCTGATAATAACTCAAAATAATAAAACACTGCGGTTCCCAAACCACTTGCCAAGCGTGGCAAATGAGTAATATCATCTCTGTGTAAGGATCTATAAAGGAAACCTATGTTCAGCAGTGGTTTTTAATAGGCTTATATGGCTGAATGAAAATAGGTTAAAGTAAAAGTGATAAGTTCGGACTGGGAAGAATGAGCAACACTGCTTTATTCATACAGCCCACTTCCTATGTGCTCGAAATGTGCTTTTCAATTATCAAATATGCAGGCTTCTCACAATATTTTCCTTCATCTCCAAACGTGGTAAATCAGTGCTCAAAATCGCTGTTAAAAATTTCATTTGTTTCCCCCGATCCTTGAACTAAGGGTTTGCTCACGTACCTACTTTGCAACACTTATGAATAAGTCTACACGGGAGCGACACAAAATTACATATTTATATATTTTAACGGTTATAATACTTATTTAACATAACAATTTATGTTACAATAAAAGAAAAAAAAATATCAAACAGTCCTAATCCAGATATAGTGCCAGCACTGGTTATGTTTCACCAGCCCTCTAGCACTAGCGGCGACGACCAGTAGTGGATACAGATCCTTCAGAAACTTCACCGCACGTAGACTCCACGAACTGAGTCTCTATAGCAAAGATACATCTATAGCCATCTCTCACAGGCTTAAATTTGCGCGTCATTTAGAGGCACGCTTGAGATCTGAGGCCGGCAAAGTGTCAACGAAGGTAGCATTCCACACTACCACTGGCTTTGTTCAAGGAAACGATCCTTCCGTCGTAGTCGTAGCCTCTGCCATCGTCTCTAAATATATCACAAGGTTAAGGATAACATCGTTATTATAATTTGTATTCTAATAAACAAAAATTTTGGAATTGTAAGCGTCATAAAAATAGGTTATAATTTCAACTTATTTTTAACATACATACATTATATATTCAAAATACCCAAGGTTAGTAAACAGAATTTGATATTTGTTTTGTATACTTAACGCACAAATGTGGTAGAAATTTACGTATGATCGGAAGATAATTTAAATTGGATTATATTTCTGAAATAACTCAACTAGGTACATGTATTTCTTATTTGTTCCAATACTAGGTTGATCAATAACTTTCGGAATAAGATACTTATCAATGAGTTATGAAATGCGTTCTATTTTTTCTTGGTATGATAGTAAATATTTTAGTCGATTTTACATATAAACATAAACACTCACGCCTGTCACCCAGAGGGGTAGGCAGAGACTACGGACTTCCATTCGGCACGATCCTGACACACCTTTCTCGCCTCCCCCACATCCATATATCCACGCATACACGCTCGTCGGTTAAGATCACTTCTAACGTGGCCCATCTTCCCGACTCTGCCGTTCGCATCTGCCACATAAATTTGCTTTGTCACTCTTTCCTCACTCATTCTTTCTACATGACCAAACCACCGAAGCATTCCTTTCTTAATCCTGGTCACAAAATCACCTTGCATACCAAATTTATCTCTTATCACGCAATTTATCACCCTGTCATTCAGATTCAACCCTAGCATATTCCTTAAAGATCGCATTTCTACAGCATTTATTCTACTTTCGTGCTTCTTCTGCCACACCCAGCTTTCACTACCATACATTAAAGTAGGGACTAACACAGCATTATGAATTACCCTACGTGCCTTTTTTGACACATTCTGGTTCTTCATAATAGAGTGTAGTGCCCCACTCACTCTATTCCCTGCATTTACTCGTCGTTTTATATCCTTATCATATCTACCATCCCTGCTAAATACACATCCCAAATACACAAACTCATCCACTTGCTCAATTAACTCTCCT